GCCCTCGCGCGCCTCGGCGCGGCGGAAGAGCGCCTTGACGCGCTTCGCCGCGTCGGCCGACTCCACGTGGGAGAGGCACGCGTCGCAGTCGGCCGCGGCGCCAGCGTGGTCGCCGAGCTTGAGCCGCGCGAGGGACCGGTTCGCCCGCGACGCGTAGTGGCCCGCGTCCGCGTCGAGCGCCGCGCCGTACTTGGCGACGGCGCCCGCGAAGTCGCCCGCGCCCATGAGCGCGTTGCCCTCGGCTTTTAGCTTGTCGGCGTCCGCGGGCTTCTCCTCCTCCTTCTTCTTGCCGAGGTCCTCCCAGGACCCCTGCGACGTCGTCGGCGACGCCTGCGACGACCCCTGCGCGTCGTCGTCGTCGTCGACGGCGACCTTGGGCGTCGAAGACAACGCCGGCGGCTCGTCGTCGTCGTCGTCGTCCTCGATGGCGACCTTAACGGGCGCGGCCTTGATGGGCACGTCCTCCTCGCTCTCGTCGTCGTCCTCGATGGCGACCTTAACCGGCGCGGCCTTGATGGGCACGTCCTCCTCGCTGTCGTCGTCGTCCTCGATGGCGACCTTGACGGGCGCGGACTTGATGGGCACGTCCTCCTCGCTGTCGTCGTCGTCGTCGATGGCGACCTTGACGGGCGCGGCCTTGATGGGCACGTCCTCCTCGCTGTCGTCGTCGTCGTCGATGGCGACCTTGACGGGCGCGGCCTTGATGGGCACGTCTTCCTCGCTGTCGTCGTCGTCTTCGATGGCGACCTTGACGGGCCCCGTGAAGGTCGCGGGCGCCGGCGGCTCCGACTCCGGCAGGTCGAAGGCGCCGTCGGCGCCCGCCTCGAAGACCTCGTCGTCGTCGCTCGACTCGTCGTCGTCGGCGATGGCGATCTTCGTGAAGGCGGGCTTCGCCGCCGCGGGCGCCGCGCCGTCGTCGTCGCTCTCGTCGTCGTCGTCGTCGATGGCGACGGCGACGAAGGGCGCGGGCGCCGCGTCGCGCTTGAGCTGCGCCTTCTGGCCCTCGACGTCCTCGTACTTGTCGCAGGACTGCTTGAGCAGCTTCCGCAGCGGCTCGTTGGTCGGGTCCTCGGCGCAGGCGCGCTCGAGGTCCTCGATGGCCGCGGCGTACTTGCCGCGCTTGTGGCGCGTCATGCCGCGGCGCTGCCGCGCCTTCGCGTAGTCCGGGTCGATCTTCAGCGCGCACGTGCAGTCGTCCTCGGCGCGCTCGAGCAGCCCGAGGCGGATCGACGCCATGGCGCGGTTCGCGAAGACGACGGCGTTGGCGCCGTCGTAGGCCAGGGACCGCGTGTACGCGTCGTAGGCGTCGCGCGACTCGCCCGCCTTGTAGGCCTCGTTGCCCTTGTGCTTCTCGCGCGCGGCGAGGAAGGCGCGCTCCGCGGGCGCGAGGTCGTCGACGCCGAGCGCGTCCGCCGCGCCCTTTAAATCCGCCAGGGACCGCCGCGCCTTGGCCTCCTCCGCCCGCTTCCGGTCCTCGGCGGCCCGCTTCCGCGCGGCCTCCTTCGTTTTGTCGGCCTCGTCGACCTTGGAGCACTCGGCGTCGACGTCGAAGGTGTCCCAGGACCGGAAGTCGTAGCCGCTGATGCGGTCCTTCTTGTCCTTCTTCTCGCTCTCGTCCAGGTAGGACTGCGGCGCGCGCGGCGCCGGCTCGGTTCGGCCGCCCGGCTTCGCGTTCCGCGGCGGCGGCAGGCGCGACGCGCGCGGCTTCGATGATACGTACACCTCCGTGCGGAGGCGCTCGTCGTCCTCCATCTGCGCCTTGGAGAAGCTCTCGACCTCCTCGCGCGCGAGCCGCGCGTCCAGCGCCGTCGGCTCGCGCGTGAGCGCCTCGTATTTCGCGCGCTCCTTCGGCGGGAGCAGGTTCAGAATTTTCTTCTCGACGTGGCCCTCGAGGTGCGGGTACCGCCCGTAGGTGCCCGTCTTGAGCTCCTTGAGGATGGACCGCAGCTCCGGCAGGTCCTCGCACTTGTCGACGTAGGTGTAGTCCATCATCTCGACGCTGACCTCCTTGGCGGAGACGCGCCCCTGGCAGATGAAGTCCCCGAGCTCGGCCATGGCGCGACGACGACGGCGCGGCGGCGACGACCGGGTGCTGCGACCGGCCTGGTGGAGGCCGCGCGCGCGGTTACAGCGCTTCGCAGGCGAGCTTCGAGCTGGCCGCCAACTGGTTGCGGCAAGAATGCATCGTGATGTCATCGTGCAGTAAATGTCAGATTCCTCCCGAAAAAACAAAGACGAAAACCGTAAGTAGCAGCGCGCGCAGAAAAAGACGCGCGCGGGCGGTGCGCGGCGGCGGGCGCGGCCCGCGGGGAGGGGCGGAGCGGACCCGGGCGCGCTAGAAGGAGACGTCGAAGTTGCCCTCGCGCGCGGCGGCGAGGGACGGCTCCTTCTTCGACCGTCGCTGCTTCTCGGGCTTGGGCTCGAAGCCCTGGTCCCAGGTCGGGGGCAGGCCCGCGTCGGCGTCGTCGGCCCCGGCGCCCTTGCTCGCCCGTCGCTCCTCGCGCTCGCGGCGCTTCGCGTCGCGGCGCGCCGCGCGCCGCTCCTCGCGCTTGCGCTCGCGCTCGCGGTCCTTGGTGGAGGGGCGCGAGCCCGGGCGGCTCGAGGGCCGCTCGCCGTAGTCGACGTCGCGCGCCGAGCCCAACGGCAAACCCGGCGTCTCGCTGCGGCCCGTGTCGAGGACCTCGTCGTCGAAGGCGCCGCCGCCGTCGAAGAGCGCGGCCGCGGCGCCGCCCTTGGCCGGCGCGAAGGCGCCGCCGCCGCCGAGCGTCGGCAACGGCGGGCACTGGAGGTTCTGGTAGTCGCGCTTGGGCTTGAGGAGCTGGGGCAGCTGCCACTTCTCCAGATCCTCCTCGTACGTCGACCGCTGCCAGACCCGGGCCACCTCCTTGGGCGGCAGGACGAGCTCGGAGACCTGGCGCCAGAGCTGGGCCTCGCGGTTCGCCTCGCGCAACGCGTCGAGGTGGGCCTCGCGCTCGCGCTGGAACTCGGCCGTCAGGTCCTCGATCTCCTGCTGCGCGTCGAGCAATTTCCGCTCCGCGCGCTTGCGCCGCCGCGTGATCTGGCGCTCGCGCTGCGTCGCCTGGGACTCCACGGCCTTCAGATTCTCCTCGATGGCCTCCTTCTCCTCCTCGGCCGCGCGCCGCGCGGCCTCGGCCTCCTCGGTCTGCCTTTTCCGCTCGCGGAGCCGGTCCTCCATGTCCCGGTGCCGCTTCTCGCGGCGCGCGAGGATCTTGTCCAGGTCCTCGGCGGGCTGGCCCCCGTCGTCGAAGGCGTCGCCGCTGCTCCTCCGGAACGACTCGCCGCCGACGACCTTTCTCTGTAAATCCGCGAGCTTCCTCGCCAAATCCTCGGCGCCGCTCTGCGCGGCGACGCTCATGCGCTTCTGCTTCTCGAGCTCGCGGCCGAGGCGCTTCTGCTGCTCTACCAGGGACGAGTTGTACTCCTCGAGGGCGCCGTGCTGCTGCACGTGCTGCTTCGGGATGACCTCGACGACCTTCTCGACCTCGACGACCTTCTCGACGACCTTCTCCACTACTTCCACCTTCTTGACGACCTTCTCCACGACCTTCTCCACGACCTTGGTCTCGCCGGGCACGTGCTTGACGACCTCGACGCGCTGGACCTCGCCGGGCGCGGCGACGGGCGCCGTCGCGCGGCCGCCGGCCATCTCCGCCGACCCCGTCGTGCCGACCATGGCCGCGGACAGCGACGGCGCCGCCAGGGCCGGCGGCGGCGCCCCGAGGGCCACGCCCGGGCCCGCCGCCGCCGCGTGCTGCTGCGCCTCGAGGAGCTGCTTCAGGCGGTCGATCTCCGACTTGTACTCGCGGAGCATCGCGTCCTTGGGGTCCTCGTTGATCTTGGGCTTGTTCTTGATGTTCTTCGCGCGGTTCGCGTAGCGCAGCGTGCTCAGCGTCTCGTCGTAGTTGTAGTCCGCGGGCGAGATCGCCGCGACCATGAGCGTCTTCGTGTTGCCGCCGAGCGAGTCCTGGAGGAGCCGCGTGAGCTTCGAGTCGCGGTAGGGGATGTGCTTGCCCTTGCCGTCGACGAGCGCCGAGATGACGTTGCCCAGGGCCGACAGCGACAGGTTGATCTTGCAGCCCTCCTTGAGCCGGTCGCCCGTCGCGCCCGTCTTCGACTGGCGCTCGGAGCCCGCCAGGTCCACGAGGTTCAGCTTGCCCATGGTGAAGTGGTCCTTGCCGTCGGCGTCGACCGTGTTCATCTCGAGCACCAACGTAAAGATGCTGTGGGACCGCGACGACCCCTCGTTCATGAGCGTCGCGCCCGTCGTCCGGTTCTCCAGGCCCGTGTCCATGACGCGGTTGATCGTCGCCTCGTCCTGGACGACGACGTTGCTCAGCCCCTTGACGTAGACGCCGCGGCTCGGGTCCTCCTTGAGCTCGCACCGCGCCTTGGGGTCGTTGCCCAGCAGGTCCCGGATCTCCTCGTTGTAGATCTCGAGGTACGAGCACCGCACGAGGTACTCGACGCCCTTGGAGACGCGGATGTTCTCGAAGATGTGGTCGAAGGACGACGGGATGACGCCCCGCAGCTCCTTGGGCTGGGACGGGCCCTGCATGGTCCACGTCTTGCCGCAGCCCGTCTGCCCATACGCGAAGATGGTGCCGTTGAAGCCCTCCATGACGCTCTCGACCAAGGGGTAGCACGACTCCTCGTAGAACTGCTTCTGCGTCGACTTCTCGTCGTAGCAGGCGTCGAACGTGAACTGCTTCTTCTGCGCGAGTTGCTCCTGCGGGCGGCGTCGCGTCGCGTCGCGCGGTCCGCGCGCGCGGCGGAAGACGCGGCGCGACGCGCGTCCTTCGTGAGCGCCATGCCCCCGTTCCCGATGGTCTTCGTGATGTGGACGCGCGTCGCGTCGACCTCGATGATCGGCGTGCGCTCCTCCGTGATCTCCTTCTTGTTCAGCGGCCGGCATCGCACGACGACCTGGACGGACACGCTGCCCTTGTTCTTGATCTTCGTCGCCGCCGTCAGCGTCAGGGCCGCCGCCGCCAGGGACATGGCGACGAACGCGCGGGGGCGCGGCCGACCGCCCGGGGCGCGCCGGCGGGCCCGGGCCTCCCGGGGAGCGACGACGGAGGCGGCCCACGGGGCGGGCAGGTAGTCGTCGTGGAGTGGGCAGCCCCAACGAGCGGCGCCGTCGAGGTAAGGATATAGTCGGTGTTTGACTCGGACGTGCACCATAACTTGAAACCGCCGGCGCCGCACTTCGCCGCACTTACCGCCGCGGCGATCGCGAACCGGGAGATGCCCGCGCTAGGAGAAGCTATAGCGCTGGCGCGACGATGACACGACGACGGCCTCGGCGCAGGCGTCGAAGGACGCGCAGTCCGTCGTCGCGTTGCAGAAGTTGAGGGGCAGCAGGGCGCCGTCGGCGAAGTATGTCCCGTCGCTCGGCGCGTAGACCTCGAGGCCGAGGCCGCCCATGGCGAGGGCCGTCCAGGCCGAGCCGTAGGAGACGCCGTCCGCCACGGTGTCGAGGTGGGCGTGCCAGCCGACGCCGTCGCCGTCCAGCGCGCGCGCGTGCGCGTCCAGACTCGTCGCGTTCGTCGCCACGCCGACGTGGCGGTCGATGAAGCGGTCCCAGCCGGCGTCGACGCCGAAGCTCGCCGCGTGGAGGCCCGCGACGTAGGCGGCGTAGGTCGCCGCGTCGCAGAAGGCCGGCGCGGACGCGTCGCGCGCGCGGAGCGTCGCTCGCGAGTTCAGCAGCAGGTCCACGGTCTGCGCGCCGTCGACGTCGCTCAGCACGACGCGGGACGTCGCGCAGGCGCCGTCGGCGGACGCCGCCGTCTCGGAGACGGCGACGGCGCCGTGGCGGGCCAGCGCGGCCGCCGCGGCGGCCGTCGCGTTCGCGTCCGGAAGGAGCGTCGACACGCGGAAGAGGTAGGGCACGGTGGCGCCGGTTGGGATGCCCTTGGCGGCGTAGAGGGCGCGATAAGTCGCGTTGAGCGCGGCGACGGGGGACCGCGCCGCGTGGTGGACCTCGCACTCGTCCGGCGAGAACGGCCGCGAAAAGTGCGTCTCCGCGAGGCGGCCGTCGAGCGCGGCCGAGTGGAACTCGACGATCGACCCGGACCGCGGCAGGTTGAGGAACATGGCGTACATGGGCAGGCCGTCGCGCGGGTTCGCGTAGCGCCGCCCGACGAAGGGCGTGCCGTCGCGCGCGGCGGCCGCCGCGACCGGCGTGAGGTCGTCGTAGTAGAAGGCCGTGCCGGCGCTCATGAAGTCGTCCCAGCCGCCCCAGGCCGGCGCGCCGAGGTCGCCGTGGAGCGCGTTGAAGCAGCCGTCGACCCACGCCTCCGCGGGCACCGCGCCCGCGGCGAAGCCGTCCTCGACGAGGTGGATCTGCACCGCGCCGAGGGCCTCGGCGGTCTGGCGCACGGCGCAGGCCGCGCCGGCGGCGGCGCCGCCGACGTTCCGGTGCCAGACGTCCGTCACGCCGCTGAAGCCGCCGACGCGCTCGAGGAAGGCGCCGTCGGCCGACGCGTTGAGCGACAGGAACGTGACCTTGTAGATGCGTCCGGCGCCGTCCCCGGCGGCGGCGCTCGACAGCGCCGCCTCCAGCGGCGCGCGCGGCCCGCGGCCGACCCAGCCGCAGAGGCCGAGCAGCGCCGCGGCGACCAGGGCCGGCCGGGCAGCCCGGCGGAGGCCCATCATCACCCAAACCTGGGGGTTAACGTTGACTTCCCGATCCAAGCGGGGCTGCCGGCGACGAGGGCAGCGCTCCCGCTCGTTTTGTGCGCGCGCTCCTCGTCCGGGGCCGGGCGCGTCCTCGTGCAGGTCGGCGGCCGACGCGGGCGGTTCGCGAGCAGCCGCGCCGGCGTCCGCCACCATGGGGAACGGCGTGAGCAAGGGGTCGCGGAACCTCTACGTCGCGGCCATGTCGAACGTGACGACCATCGAGCGCAAGGAGCTCCTGGGCATGCGCGCCAAGTTCGGGGAGATGGCCAAGGCGTCCGGCGGGAACCCGAACACGATCACGCGCGACGAGTTCACGCGGGGCCTCGACGAGATCAGCGTCGCCGAGGCCGACGCGGAGATTTTAGAGCGCCTCTTCACCATGTTCGACAAGATGGGCGACGGCCAGATCAACTACCGCGAGTTCGTCGTCGGCGTGAGCCCGCTGGCGCGGGGGGACGTGCCCCAGAAGCTCCAGTTCGCCTTCGAGCTCTACGACGTCGACGAGACGGGCCACGTCAAGGCCGCGGAGATGTGCTTCGTGCTCAACGCGATGAACAACGTCGCGTCCTGGTTCGGCGACCCGGCCATGCAGCCCGACGAGATCGACACCTGCGTCGAGGACGTCTTCAAGCAGGCCGGCGGCGCCATGTCCGTCGCCTACACGGAGAACATCGCCGTCATCGCGGAGCACGCCGTCGTCCGCCAGTTCCTCGCGGGCTCGGGCACCGTCGTCTTCGGCGCGTGAGTCGGCGGCGCGACGCCGGCAAGCGCCCCGCCCCGCCCTTCGCGCCGCGGGAGGGCGGGGGAAAGTAGATCGATTGTACCTCCGAAGGGGTCGGCTCGAACTCCGAGGAGGCCGGTCGACGAGGCCTTCGACGATTCTCAAGTGCTGTGGCAGTTCTGCGAGGAATGGCAGTGCCGATGCGGCTACTCTTCGCAGCATGGCTGCTGTCGGTCGACGCGTTTTTGCTGCAATCGAGACCGTCATGTGTCGTCCGGAGCCGCGCTGCAATCAGCGACGACGACTTCCGGCTGCGCTCCAGCGAAACGGTGTCGTTGAAGGACCTGTGGGACCGCGCGCTCACGCTGCAGCGCGCGGGCCAGCTCGACGAGGCGCTCGACGCCTACGAGGACTTCCTGAGCGCGGCGGACCAGAACGGCGTGCCGCCGGCGTCGACGGCCGAGGCGTTGGGCAACGTCGGCGCGATCCACCTGCGACGAAAGAACCTCCCGGCGGCGCGCGCGAGCCTCGAGGCGTCCCTGGAGCACCGCGAGCTGGGGAGCACGCTCGCGAATTTAGCCATCGCGGCGCTCCAGGCCGGCGACGTGCTCGAGGCGCGCACGCGCGCCCGCGCGGCGCGGCACCTCGACGACGATCCCGGGAGCGTCGCGCTCGCGGAGCGGATTCTGCGGGACATCGAGGAGTCGCGGTCGACGCCCGAATAAGCCAGCTTAAAGAAACTCCGGCGGCGGCTGCTGCCCCTTGCTGCACCAGCCCTGGGTGCTCGCGGTCTGCTTGACCATGTCCAGGCCCGCCATGTCGAGGAAGCGGGACAGCGGGCGCGCGCCGCCGAGGCCGTAGTTCGGCCCGTCCGGGTCCCGGAGGTGCGCGAGCACGCCGGCGTTCTTCGGCGGGTCCGGGTAGCCCACGACGTGCTTCACGCGGTCGACGATCATGAGCATCAATTTCGTGTTGGACCCGCCGGAACCGAAGGTCCGGTCCGTCGACTCCCAGAACTTGGGGAGCCCCAGCTTGCCCGGGCGGTACTGGTGCGCGAAGAGGCTGACGCGCGGCGCGTAGACGTCCCAGCCGTTGGTGAAGAAGCGCGTCGTCAGGGCGATCTCCTCGCCCATGAACACGAACGGTAAATAGGGGTCGAAGGGCAGCTCTCCCAGGAACGACGCGTGCGCCGCGAAGAAGCCCGCGCCCACGTAGACGGACCGCGGCGGCTGGGGCGCCGGCGCGGAGATGGCGCCGCCGCCGCCGCCGCCGCTCAGGCGGATGATGTGGGCCTCGACGGACGATTTCGAGAACTCGGCGCCGCAGAGCTTGCCCGTGCCGCGCGGCGACCGCTTCCACGACCCCCGGTCGTCCGGGCCCGGCGGGTACGCGGACATGACGACCTTGGGGTACGACGGCGCCGCCCGCAAAGCGACGCGCAGATCCTCGTCCCAGCCGTCGACGGTCCACATGTGCGCGTCGATCTGGACGTAGTAGTGCTCGCCGAGCCAGAGCTTCGACGCGAGATACCGCGCGAACGCGGGCCCCAGACTCTCCGTCTCGTTGACCCGCAGCACGCGCACGCGCCCGGCCTCGCAGTGGGGCCGCCCCGCATCCGACGAGCAGAACTCGAGGACGCCGTCGCGGTCCGGCGGCGCGTCCGACACCTTCGTGCGCGTGGGCTCGCCCGGCTTCGAGACGACCTCGACGCCCGTGCGGCACTTTTCGACGCAGTTCTGCATGACGACGCCGGCGACGACGCGCTCCGGCGACGCCGCGTTGCCGAAGAGCTCGCTGAGCGTGTGGCCGAGCATGTGGTCGCGGTACGCGGCGACGGACACGAAGACGGACCCGTCCTCGCGGACGGGGCGGATCGTGCGCCCGGCGAATTTGCGCTCGAAGGGCACGAGCGTCCGCTCGGCGACGGCGACGTAGGCGTTCCAGATGGCCTCCTTCGACGTCTGCCGCGCCGCCGCGAACGCGTCGTGGACCTCGCCGAGGAATTTGGTGAGCGTCGTCACGATCTCCTCTAGCGAGAGCTCGGCGTCGGGCGCCGCGGGCGCCGCGGCGCGCGGCGCCACCGGCGGCGGCGGCGGCGGCGGCGGCGGAACGGCGGGCTCGGGCCGCCGCTCGCGGATGACGAAGCCCTCGGGCGACTCGCGCGCGGCCCGGAGGCCCGCGGCGACGTCCGCGCCGAGGCCGTCGGCCGCGCCGCGGAGCCGCGGCGCGGGCTCCTCGCGCGCCATGGGCGCCTCGCGGTCCGTCTCCGAGGTGCGCACGGCGCCGCGCCCGGCGGCGCCGCTCGCCGCGTGCGCCACGGCGAAGGACGGGCTCTCGTGGTGCAGGCCCTGCATGTGGGACATCATGAGGAGGAAGACGGAGAACGTGGACCCGAGGACGACGATGGCCGCGCGCACGCAGCAGTACGCGGCGAAGGACGGCCGGCCGTTGCGCCCGCGACGGCTCGCGCGCTTCGGCGCCATGATGTTTGGCGCGGCGCGGCGCTCCTGCTGCCACAGCCCGGCCTCGGTGGCGAGCGCGGCCGATGGTGCTGCACGCATCTTAGACGGTGCAGCCCGGCTGCACGATGGGCGCTGCCCCTGCCCAGTGAGCTAACACCCACTCGCCGGGCCTGGGCCGCTCCCATCTAAGAGAGGCGCCCCCGGGGCCGGGCCGCCATGTCCGATCCCGAGACGCGCCTGCGCGAGCTCAAGGAGGCCCAGGACAAGATCATCCAGGAGCGGCACACGGCCATGATCCGGTCCGAGGCGCGGGCCTACCTCGAGCGCAAGGTCGAGGCGAACCACCTCCAGGCGAAGAACCACCACCTCTTGGCGCCCCTGCTCCAGGAGAGCGGCCAGGTCGACGAGGCGCTGCGGCGCCTAAAGTTCGCGGTCCTGTCGAACCCGCAGGACCTCAAGGCGCGCAACGACCTCGCGCTCGCCATCTTCAAGCTCGGCCGCCACTACTGGCAGCGCGCCGTCAACGAGTTCAAGATGATCCTGCAGCTGGACTCCGAGAACTTCCTCGGGAACAAGAACATCGCCGCGGTCTACGCCGCGCGCGGCCGCTACGACGAGGCGTTCCAGCACGCCAAGGCGGCCGTGCGGATCGACCCCAACGACGTCGGCGCGCGGCGGAACCTCGCCCAGATCTACGACGCCATCGGCAACTCGCGCGAGGCCGTCGTCCAGAACCAGTACGCGGTCTCGCGCGGCCCGGGCCGCCACGGCGCCTACGACCGCGGCGACGCGGAGGCGTACCGGCGCCTCGCCGTGCAGCGCGCGGGCCGCGGCGAGACGAAGAAGGGCTTCGCCCACGAGCACTACGACGCCTACCGCGCCCTGAGCCGCAAGCCCTTCGTCCTGCCGGACAGCGAGCGGACCGTGGAGATCCTGCTCAACGCGCGGCAGGACTTCTAACGCGGGCCGAGGCGTGTTTAGTCGAGACCCGCGCTACCTCTCGATGAGCCTCGGCTTGAGCCGGAGGCCCGTGCCGAAGCCCGAGAAGCCCGTCGTCGAGTTCCACGACAGCACGAGGAAGACGGCGCAGAGGAAGAGCAACACGCTCTCCACGGCCGCGAAGATGACGACGTGCTGGATGTTGTCCGTGCGCGCGTCCGCGAGCGCGCCGGCGTCGTCGTAGTAGACCTTGACGTCGTTGGTCCAGGGGCAGTCGTCGCGCTCGCGCCACGTGCCGTCCGGCGCGGCCTCGTCCTCGCAGTCGTCCCAGGTGCGCTTCGCGTTCTTGCCGAAGTTCGCCTTGGCCAGGCGGTAGGCGCTGCGCTCGATGGCCGTGGCGGCGAGGCAGAGGCCGAAGCCGACGGCCAGCGCGGTCGCGGCCGCGACGCAGCGCCGGTCCGGATACCAGAAGATCGCGCGGTTCCGCTTGATGGCGTCCTCGCCCGCGAGCCGCAGGATGCGCATGCGTCTAGCGCTGTCCGTGGCCGCGATGACGTAGGGCACGACGATGAAGCCGCAAATTAGCAGGACGGCGAGGAGGCCCCGCGCGACGTACGAGTCCTCGAGGATCGCCGGGTCGCCGGTCGACGGGACGCACTGGCCGTCGTAGAGGCAGAGCACCTGGAAGGCGAGGAAGCACCAGCCCAGGGCCAGCGTCGCGGCGACGGACGCCGCGTCGGCCCAGCGGAGCACCGCGGCGGGCCGGTAGAGCCGCCGGCCGTCGGGCCCGGCGGCGCGGCCGAGCGCGTCGTCGACGAACGCATCCGCGCCCCCGTCGCCGTCGCCGCGCCGCGGCCCCGGCGCCGCCTCGTCGCCGTTCTCGCCGGACCCCTCGTCCTTGACCTCGTCGCCGGGCCGCCGCCGCATCTCGACGCCGCGGTCGCCGCCGCGCCGGGCGCCGCCGCCGCGGTCCCGGGCCTCGCGCTCCGCGCGCCGCTTCTCGACGCGCGCGCGCGCGCGGCTCCGCGGGCTCAGGGGCGCCGACGAGGGCGCCGGCGCCTCCTCGTCGTCGGTCTCCGACGACGAGCCGCCGCCGCGGCGGCCGCCGCGCTTCGCCTCGCCGGCCTCGCCCTCGCGCCGCGCGCTCTCGCGGCTCCGCCGCGCGGCCCGCGAGTCGCCGCGGCCGACGGGGTTCCGCGCCTCGCCGCGCCGGCCCAGCTCGATGCCGTCCTCCTCCGACGACGTGTCGTCGCGCCGCGACGCCATCGTCTCGCGCGGGGCAGCCTCACTCTTGAATTGTCGAGCACCGGCAGCTTCGTGACGGCAGGATCACCCCCGAGACGGTTGAGAGCGGCAGCCCGATGGCGGCGGTCCGGACCTAGCGCTAGCCATGGCAGCGTCGCCGCGGAAGCCCGATGGGTCGGAGTGCATCCGCGTGCTCATCCGCGTCCGGCCGGTCCTCGGCGACGGCGGCGCGGCGGCCGTGCGCGTGCTCGGGCGGAGCGCCGACGGCAGCGGCGAGGAGCTCCTGGTCGAGTGCAGCAAGGACAAGCAGTTCTGCGGCGCCTTCGACAGCGTCCTGGGCCCGGGCGTCGCGCAAAACGAGGTCTACGACGGCGTCGCCGACGTCGTCGCCTCCGTCGCCGACGGCTTCAACGCCTGCGTCATGGCCTACGGCCAGACGGGCGCGGGCAAGACGCACACGATGCTCGGCCCGCCGCGCGGCGCCGACGGCGCCGCGGCGCCGGACGCCGAGGGCGTGCTGCCGCGGGCGTTGCGCGCCCTCTTCGCCCGCCTCGACGAGCTCCACCCGGACGCGGGCGCGGGGAGCGGCGACGACGACGGCGGCGCGGACGCGAAGGAGGCGTCGTCCGGCGGCTACGTCGTCCACTGCTCCTTCCTCCAGATCTACGGCGAGAAGCTCGAGGACCTGCTGAGCGCCGAGGACCTGCCGCTGAAGGTGCGCCAGGCGCCGCGGCTCGGCAAGAGGCGGCGGGGCCGCGCGCCGGAGCTCTACGTGAGCGGCCTCAGCGCGTTCCGCGTCTCCGGCGCCGACGAGGCCGTGCGCCTCGTGGACCAGGGTCTGCTCCGGCGCAGCGTGCGCGGCACGAGGAGCAACGACGCGAGCAGCCGGTCCCACGCGGTGCTCCAGGTCAGCGTCGAGTCGACGGACCCGAGGGGCGTCGCGACGCGCGCGAAGCTCTACCTCGTGGACCTCGCCGGCTCCGAGAAGGCCGCGGCCCTCGACGACGGCAAGGGCCCCGCGAAGGACCCGCGCGCCGCCGCCGCGGCCAAGTCGCGCGCGTTCCACGAGCACGTGAACATCAACCAGTCGCTCTCCGCGCTCGGCAACGTCATCGCCGCGCTCGCCGAGGGCCCCCGGCGGCGGCCCCACGTGCCCTACCGCGACTCGCTGCTCACGCGCCTCCTCCAGGACGCCCTGGGCGGCAACACGCGCACGGCCGTCGTCGCCTGCGTCGCGCCCGAGGCCGCGCACGCGGAGGAGACCGTGTCGACGCTGAAGTTCGCGGACCGCGCGCGCCGCGTGCTCGCGCGCGTCGTCGCCAACACGGAGGCCGGCGCCGGCGGCGGCGAAAACGAGGCGGCGCTCCTCGACGCGCTCGCCGCGGCCAAGGCGGAGATCGCGCGGCTCCAAAGCGCCCTCGCGGCCGCGCTCGCCGCCGCGGGCCCCGACTACGCCGCGAGCGTCGAGGCCGCGGCCGGTGCGGCGCCCGGTGACGACGCGGAGTCGCTGCGGCGCGAGGTCGCGGCGCTCAAAGCGGAGAACGAGCTGCTCCGGCGCCTGGCGCACACGCCCGACGGCAAGAAGAAGAAGCGGCCGAAGCCGTCGTCGCGGCGGCCGCAGTCGAGTCGGTCGACGCCGGGCTCCGGCGCGAAGCGGCCGCCGCGGCCGTCGTCCGCGCGGTCCTCGCCGGCCGACGGCGGCGAGCGGCTCACGTCGGACCACTCCCTGGGCCAGCTCCTCTACGACGCCGGCGGCGGCCGGCCGTCGACCGCGCGGAGCGGCGACGCGGGCTACGCGGCGATCCTCGACCTCCAGGCGCGCGTCGAGGCGCTCGACGGGTCGCCGCGGCCGCCGACGGAGGGCGACGAGGCGTCGCGGGCGTCGACGCCCGACGACGACGGCCCGTTGCAACAACGCGTCGACGCGACGCGGTCCGCCGGCGGCCGCGGCGCCGTCGCCGAGCTCCTCGCGCGCGAGCAGGACGACGTCACGGCGCGATTGGACGCGGAGCACGCGGACTTGTTGCGGCTCCGCGACGAGCGCGCCGAGCTCGAGGCGATCCTCGCGCGCATGGACGCGGCGTCGGGGGGCGACGACGCGGCCCCGAGCCGGCCGAGCAGCGACGACGGCGGCGGCGCGGCGCCCGCGAGCCTCGTGTCGCTCCGGGACCACGCGCCCGCGGACCCGCGCGCCGCCGCGGTGCTCTCCGCGCGCGCGGCCAGGTTCGGCGACGGCGACGGCGACGGCGGCGACGCGCCGGCCGCGCCGCGGCGCGCGCCGCGCGCGCGGAGCCGCCGCGGCGTCGCGCGGCCGCCCAAGTCGCCCGCCGTCGCGCCGCCGCGGCGCCGCGCGCCGCCCATCCCCGCCCCGGAGCCGGCGGCCCCGCCCGCGGCGGTCGCGCCGCCGGAGCTCCGCGGCGACGGCCGCGACGTCGGCGCGCGCGTCGAGGTCTACTCCTTCCGCTTCAACCGGTCCTACGCGGGCACCGTATGCGCCTACGACGCGCGGCGGAACATGCACTGCGTCCACTACGACACGGGCGAGAAGCAGTGGCACGACCTCGGCTCCAAGCAGGTGACCTGCGTCGAGGCGGGCCGCGGCGCGCCCGCCGCCGCGCTCTCGCCAGCGCCCCCGGCGACGACGCCCCTCTCCCTCTCGGCCTTCGTCTCCGGCAAGCCGGGCATGCGCCGCAACCAGAGCGGCAAGCACCTCGCCTCGCCCCTCGCCGCGAGCAACGCGTCCTACGCCGTCTACGGCAACGCGCGGCCGTAGCCGACTAGAGACGCGTGTCCGAATTTTGGGGGGCGTGGCGGATCGACGAGACACGGCGTCTGAGTTACGAGCGCGCGCCGCCGGGGGGGGGGCTCACTGCCACGTCGTGTAGGCGTCGTAGGCGACGCGGATGAGCGCGATCTGCAGCGGCAGGTCGCCGAGGTGGCTGATGAGGCCGCCGTAGACGCGCTTGTCCGGGCCGAACGCGTAGCCGATGCCGTAGACGATCCGGCCGAGCGTCCACAGGCCGCCGCACGCCGCGGCGAAGACCGGGTAGAAGAGCCCGACGACCAGCATCTGCGTGATCACCGTGGACATGGATTCGAGCGTATTCTGGTGCGCGCGCTGCACGGAGTTGAACTCCATGGCATACTTGTGGCCCGCGGGCGCGTAGAGGTTCGGGTACTGCACGTCGTAGAGCTTGCGCGCCTTGGCGACGCGCACGACGAGGAATGCGTTCATGAAGAAGGTGCACGCGAAGATGACGAGCACGTATTTGTAGTCCGACGGGATCTCCAATGCGACCATGGTTCCCTTGCGACGAGCGGGACGGCAGCGACGCAGAGCGGCGTCACAAGCTCGAGCGCGGCGGCTTCCTCGAGCTGAGCCAGCGCAGCTAAATTGCCGTCAACATGAATTTCAATGATCGGAAAGCTCGCCGCTCAAAAACAACATGGTTACGCGAGCGGCCGGTCAAAAAAAGGGACAACAGTTGTTTGGGGTACGAAAGCGACCGCCGCGTCCACGTCGTCGGCGCGCTCACGGGCCGCGCCGGAGGATGAAGATGAAGACAGACTGCTCCGTCCGCGGCCAGATGAAGAGGTAGCGGAGCGCGCGCGCGTGGCCGTCCTCGACGACGAAGGGCGGGTCGCGCGCCTGCGACGGGGGTCGTAAATGCGCGGCGGCGCGCTCCCGCCCGGACGCGGGGCGACGCGCGTCCTGCGCGAGCGAGAGGAGCAGCGGCCGGTCGCCGCCCGCGCGGCCGTCCGCGGCGAGGCCCGCGTCGACGCGCGCGCGCGCGTGCTCGACGACGGCGCACTCGTGGCGCCAGAGGCCGATGTTCTCGTGGAAGAGCTTGGCGAGGGACCCGGCGCCGACGACGCGCCGGAGCGCGGACGCGTTGACGTTGAGCCGCTCGCGGAAGAACGACGGGAACTGGAGCACGTCCGCGGCGCCGCGGAAGGGGTCGTGGGGCGGCGGCCCGAAGCGCGGGTCGTGCATGAGCCGCGGGTCGTGCATCAGCCGGGGATCGTGCATCGGGCCGAGGCGCGGGTCGTGCGGGTGCGCGAGCGGGAACGGCGCGAGCTGGCCGTAGTGCGGCGCGAAGTCGCAGGGCGGGCGCGAGTGGTGCGGCGGCGGCGGCGCGCCGTAGCCGGGGTGCCAGGGCGGCGCCGCGACCTCCTCCCGGACCCGGGAGTCGCGGAGCACGGAGAGGAGGCGGCTCATGTGGCCGAGCTTGGACCAGGGCTGGCCGGGCAGCGCCTTCGACCGCGGCGCCGGGCCGCCCGACCCGCCGTCGGGCGCGCCCGGCGCCGCGCGGCCATTTCCCTGCTCCGCGGCGACGCAGGCCTCGGACTCGGCGGCGAAGATGACGTCGTCGAAGCTCACGCCGCAGGCCTTGAGCGCGTGGAGCGCCTCCCGCAAGTGCGGCGACGGGCCGGGACGCCCCGTCGCCGCGTCGAAGAGCTCCGTGACGACGCCGCGCTGCCGGTAGGGGTCGACCCAGGTCTGGCTGTGCCAGGCGACGCGCGTCGGCGTCCCCGGCCGCACGGCGTTCGCGAGGTACGCGCACCACGCCGAGAGCGCCGCGGGGCCGTCGGGCCCGCCGCCGAAGGGGTGGCAGAGCTCGAGGGGCAGCTGGAGCTCGCCGGAGGACGGCCCGCCCTTGCGCAGCAGCAGGCCCCGCACGGCGTGGCTGAAGAGCGTCGCGCTGTGCCGCGCCAAAGGCCGCGCGAAGACGTTCGCCAGGATCTCCGCGGGCGTCCTCCGCGACCGCGGCGCGGCGCCCGGCCAGGCCTCGTCGGTCTGCGCGTCGCTCTCGGGCGCCGCGGCGTCGCCGGAAGCGCCGCCGCGGGCCGCGCCCCGCGTCGCCGCGGCCTCGCGCTCGAGCGCCTTGCGGTAGAACCGCGCGAGGTCGAGCGCGACGCGCTGCTTCATGGACGGCGTGCCCTTGCGCGCGAGGAGGCCGAGCACGTGCACCGCGTCCTGGGCGCCCAGCGCGGACAGCGCGGCCGTCTCGGCCTCGAGCGCGTGGCCGAGGCCGCCGCGGCCCTTGTAGCGCGAGCTCGGGCCCGCGAGCACGGGCCGCTCGCAGGCGTAGCGCAGGCGCTCCGGCGGCACGGCCGGCGGCGGCGGCGGCGGCGGCCGCTCCTGGGGCGGCGCCGGGTAGCCGTAGGCCATCGGCGGCGCGCCGCCCGCGCGCGGCGGCGCCGG